GAATATTTACGTACATTAGCCGAACGTGGGACACATTCACCCTGGCAATGTTTAAGTAAGAGGGGTCAGTGGAGTTGCCAGACATATGGAGAGCATTTGGACATATTCAGACTCCGCATGGACCACAAGAGAGGCAGGCCGAGTGTTATACATCTTGTTTTGGTAACAGCTCATTTTCATAAGAATGTTAAATAGCCACAATCCTCCACACAATTCTGGATCTGTCTTACTGAAAGAAACACATTTAACTCAATTATTCATATGCTATTTTCAATATTTTTCAAGACTGAAATTACTTTCATTTCGTCTTTCTTTTTTACTGAATATGTCTTTGATTATAACCCTTAGCATATTAGCAATTTAAAATTGAACTTTTGACTTCTGGGTCAGATCGTAATTGTTCAATAAGTATTATTGAGGACTCTTATAAACCAATTAACCTAGGCACAGTTTAAATGTGGGTGACCTCCATGCCAAACCCTTAGCTTCTATCTGCTGCTCTGTAGAAATCTTGCCTTTTCTCGAATGTGAAGTTATAAACTCAAAGCTTCAATGATGTGTTTGAATTGATCTAATAATTTAACTTATTTAGTAATTGCTGTTAACACTGCTTGCTGTCAATGAATACTCTACAGGAGGGTATATGATTTTGGTAGAAGGCTTTACTTTTTAATGTGAAGACAAAACACAACATTCCCTGCTTTGACAGATGTTGCTATAAGAAAATGGTCAAAAAAAGCTTTTCACATTAAAAGCCCAGGACCAAAACTGTTAAAAAAGTAATCTCTGTGCACCCAAATGCAACATTTTATTCTGGTGATGTCATTGTGATTACCTATCACACGCAAGAGATAAGAAGCAACAGTGAGCCATGAGAAATTTCACTGAAAGACTCAGGAGGGCAAAGACAGACAGGGGAGGAGAGTGGGAGACTGAGATCAATGATAATGTGATATGATCGATGACATAGTGGAGCTAGCAATTCCCCTCTGGTGGTCTCAACCTCCACCGATTCAGAGTTGTAGAGAGTACATTTTGTTTGGATTGGCTTTAATCTTCCCATAGACAGACACTACAAGACAGGCGGTATGCTGCAAGCGTTTTCCATTTTGTGACACAAGAGAATTGTGTCAGGTTCTGCAAGTGCACAAGTGCAGATGCGTCTGTGTGGCACGTTGACAGGCAGCTTGTTCAAATAAAGAACTGACAAAGCTCTGAAATAAACGGCTCGACTGTTGAGGAAAGTATTTACAGACACATGACAACAGAAAACAAAAACAGAGCACTTCCCTCTGTTGGTTCTCGGAAACTGTCGGTCCATGGTGCTGAAAGAATATTTTTGCAAATGTTTTAAAATGCAGTGCATTCTTTTTACACTTCAAATGATTTAGAAATGGTTACAGAGTACTTTAAAAAATGTGAGAAAATGAAAAACTAAAGTTGTTGTGTGACAGCTTTGTATAGTCAAAGGCTTTCCATTACTTGTGTTGAAGTTATATTTGACAAATGGCTTCATATGGTGCTGGTTGTTTTTAGACAAAAGAGTGCGGAACCAGATGATGAGTGGGGCTCATTGCTAGAGAATACTGTTCGTAAATCAAAATACTGTGTGTGTCATCCATCTATTGAATCTGTCTCAAAAGACTACATGCTCTGCAAGGCTCCGATGAATTTGAAATGGCAAATATTCTGATAAATAGCAGACCATCACAGAGAGTCTACACTACAGCTATGCTAGCAGCTTTGTGATAGTTGTAGACAATTAAGTGCTTTGAGCTAAATGCTAATGTCAGCATGCTAACATGCTAACAATGACACTACAAACAAGCTGTTGCTTAGAATGTGTAATGTTTCCGTGTTTAAAATGCAGCTGAGACTGATGGTAATATGATTCTTTTTCTTATGGTGAGTAACCACAGCTGAACCAAATTTAATGACAATCTTTAACCCTTTCTCTCATCAAAAACGGTCTAGGTCCAACCATAGACTGTACTGTATATATAAAGACTATAACATGTTGTTGACACTAGGGGAAAAGTGAGGGGATCACTAAAGTCTTCCTCTAGTTGTTAAGATTGTTCAGTCTGTAGCAATGAGGTTTGCCAATCGAATGGCTAGGACATCCCTAAAAAGTTAAAAAATATACTTTATTATACTGCAGCAGTCAAACTGATATTGTCTAATGGCAAAGAGAGATAACTTTGTTGTTCTGTATCTTAAATGAAGGATGCCCCCTGGGAAAAACTGGACAAACAGAAGGGCAATTTAGGTCCTCTAAGATGGAGAAGTACCAACAACAAGCAAGGAAATATTAAATAGCTTTATTACAGTGGGTTGATCATTAAAAAGTCAAAATGTTTTAAACACTGTTAGGTCTTAGTCATGGCTAATAAAAATATATATTTTTATGATTTGTGTACAAATAATTGCTTTTCAATATTTCCTTCCTCCTGGTTAATTGCTCAATTTGAACCGACTGGGTCACCTTCCTGTTTATAATTGTTTATAATGCTTGACAAAAGAGGCATTTGTTTTACATTATTAAAACAATTAAGCAATTGTTTGGCTCTGGTCCATGCTTACCCGTGTGCCCATAGTGTTTAGATAAAAGCCCAAAATAAGCCACATTCAAAGTCTCCAAGATTTTTCCTGGCCATACAGATGAAAATATTTACTTATTGAAGTAACAATTGATGATGTCTCAGATGGAATTGCCAAGACATCGTGTGACAGAGAAAGCATGCAGGCAGAAATATGTTGCCCCAAAGACATGTCTGAGATTTTGTAATTAGCTTTAAGCTGTCTCGATGTTAAGGAATCCACCAGGAGGCCAACATGTCTGCCGCTGTTCACACCTCCACTCATCCTTGAGGTCTAATAACCAGTGCTTATATTGTGGTCACCAGATATGAACGCAGCAACAGTGATGTGTTTAATAGAGCCTTTGTTGTTCAGACACAGCCATAACAGTATAACATCCTCCAATTAAATGAGTGAAGTAATAACAACATTATCACTTTATACATCTCAACAATGACCTGATCAGATGTTCCCCCGCACAAGGCCTCTGTTTGGAGCTGAGGTCTATTTGCAGATATTTTAATAATTTCTATTGAGATCCTTTTTGGTTCAGAGAGGAGAGTCAAACAACTGCTCTACACTACACCCATTTTATGTGTCCCATTGGTGGCATTCATGGGTATATAAGTGGTATATTAATAAATGTTTCCACTGTTTTGGTTGCCACCATGGGTATAATAATCACTCTACCTCGGGCAGCATAAAGGTTGGGTTGGGCCCAGATAAAAAGTCATAAACATCATCACCTCAGAGGGAGATTTAGTTTAATATACGCTTATAATAACAATGACAATCATATTTTACTATCACTTCTCAGAAAAACAGGGCCCAAAGACAAATCAGACAATAAAAGAGGTATTTTATAGAGATTGAAAAGGGTTGTATTTCATTATAAAGCCTCAACAACACTTATCCACATAATTACGGTTGGTTCCCAGGTTGGACTGTCAGTGTAAAGAATGGCCCAGAAAGAGCCAAGAACTTTTATTGAGCTGATATTAATTGATTTGTCCTGACCTACCCAGACCTGGCCTCCCCGGGCTCAGCTTCCTTAGCGGAGTATTGCCAAGGTCTGTCCTAGCTCTGCATAAAAATAAATGAGAAGCTATCGGGCCAACTCTCTAAAGCCAGAGGATATTGTTCGATTTCACGTCAGCCCTCCAGGAGGCAGTTTAAACAACCCAGCATGCTAATCAACCTGGTATAAAAGGCACCTCTTTTTCTCTTTCTCTCCTATTGCAACAGGGCCAGAAAAGACCTAAACAACCTAAGGGGAAAAGCAGGGCCTGTGCCTGAAAGAATATTACGGCCCAGTGTATTATAACTATATGATGTGGAAAAGGAAACAAGTACTTATATTTTAAAAGGCATTCCATGGTAGGTTAGGCTGGCATGACAGTCACTTTTTCATTTTATTTCAGGGGAAAAAGCCTTGGGGTAACAATTGTTCCACAGAAAATATGCTTATATTAAAAATGTTGGCATAGTGAAATGACTTGAACACTCTGCGCCTGTGAGCTTCTCTGCTGCCTTCAACACATCAGCGATGTCTCAGTGGAACCACATTGTGACCCTCGTCGGAGGAGGCATAGCCCCGATCCCCACAAATAATTCAATACTCTAATATCCCCTCAGTATTCGTTGTGACCACAGAAATAGGATAGTGTTCATTTTCTCCTTGTGCCCTGAACCCACAGGTCAGGTGGTAGCAGATCACAGACATCTCTGTGGCTCAGAGGTTAAACTAATCATGCATGACTTTCTCACATGGCCCAGCCACTACCTTAAGAAATCTACACCAGCTTGTCGTCCATTCAGCGAGTGAACCTGCTTTTTTATCACTAGCTGCTTTAGTTGATTTGACTGTGGCAGCTTTCCACTCAGTTCGACACTTTATAAACAGTGGCACAAACTCCTACACACTGCAGTTATACAACTCCTCATCCCCATGAACTCAAAATGCACGTATGCTTTAGAGAAATGTTCTGTTTCCTGTAAAACTGCATCACAATTATCAAAGGTGTGTTACCTCTATAGATGAGGATGTCCTTCACTTCTCTGTGTTTAGAACAATACAAAAAAACATAATTTCCTATATTCAGTTTATGTGTAGAGTTGATAAACACTGCCCCCTACTGGCGCACACACATCTTGACAGTTATTTACCAGTATCAGGTAATGCAGTGAAAGTGTTTTTTGTTATAGATTTGCTGTGCTAAGCTGTCAAACACACCATCAGTTTATCAACTTATTTTTCTCTTATTTCATCATTTCATCAATAATTTCCTCCATGATACATTGCTTATCCTGTAAATAAATCCCTGGAGCTTTCTGGCTCCATTTCTTATGTTTTAAACGAATCTCTCGAGCAAATCCTGTAATCATCAATGATATTCTGGTAGTCATTACAAAAACAAAACTGCAGAATCTGAGCTTTTATTTAAAAATGAAAATGCCTTTACTAACCAGGACAGTGAAACATTTCGAAAACAATATCATCAGCAAAAACTCAAGCGTTAGAAAGGTAAAAAACACATTGTAAACAAATCTAAGTGTCATGCATGGAAATATCATATAAATCATTAAAAGTTTATAATGTGAAATATACCCTGAGCTCCAAAACACTTCAAATATTAGCAGTGATAAGCTGGTCTCAATACAAATAAGTTAATACATGAAACGTTATCAATACTTGGAGCAAAGGTCAAATATGTATTTTCTATTGCTTACAGTATCGTACAGTGAACACATATATTGTCCATTATAAATCCAGACAAATTATTTATTGTGTTTGATGATTTTACTCACCTACAACACCTTCATTAAAGCTTTAAGATTTTAAAAACGGCAAACATCTATTGTGTGAGCACGTCACAGTCTCTGCACAACCAACTACAAATGTTTCCAAGGTCACAATATAACATTTACAAGATTAGTGCCGTTAAATTGTTTAGAGTTATACATTCTTATTTATACTACCTTGATTCATAAATTAAACATATTATGTAGAGTTATTAGTGGACAAGTTATATCGTTTAAAAAGACAAACAATTAAAACAATTGAAAAAAACAATGCAGCTGTTAATCGAACACTTGTTGAATAATATGTAAAATAACTTTATAGCTAAAAATAAGAGAATTAGGGTTATCTTAAAAAGGAAGCAACACATGTGTTAGTTGTACACCCTGGTGCTCTACCCCTTCACCTCCTGCACACTGCCAAGTAAACATGTAAATAATATAAAGTCATTTCAAGAGCATGCCAGCTCTCTGAGAGATGGTTATCTCTATCGTTCACTGCATGTTACGGAGATAAAATAATGGTATTACTGATTTCATTTTGATCTTTTGAATAACCTTTGAATCAACCACTTTTTTCCCCCTTGCTAATTGTCTGCTTCTTTTCCTGCTGTATGTCCATCTTTTCAATTTCTTTCTGCAATACCACAGCAGGTATTTCTCTACATTTTGACTGTCTATACATTCCTAAATAGTCCTTGAACTCTACCTTTAAAATCGTTGTATTGATCTCATTTCCTGTTGATGTGTTGTGTTTACACCTGCACTTTTGTTATCAACTTCCATCTTGAATTCTACCTTTCATATTTGTCAAGTTGCCTAAAGGCCTAAGCAACAACTTTATTTTTCTTTTGTTCTTCTTCATCCTCACTAAGGCTTTCATTGCCTGGCTTTTCCTCTTCACGTCCACACTCGACCTCATGTTTATCTTCAACAACATCTCCCTTATCTTTCTCTGACTGCACCTTAGACTTATCATGGCCTTGTTGCTCCTCTTCTTCTTGATCTGGCTCTGCTCCTGCAGTGTCTGGAGTCTCTTGAAAGGTACTGCTAGGTGTGGGGCTCTGAGAATGCTGGGAGGTGGCTAAATACAGATCTGGTTCCTTATCTGTTTCTTTACAGTCGCCTACACTTTCTGTTTTATTTCCATCTTCGGAAACCGGTTTGACTGTTTCACTGACCTCTCGCTTGTTATCTTGGCTTATGTGTGTTTCTTCTTCTGCGGCTTTTAAATCTTGCTCATGTCGTGTTGTTTCTAACCCTTTGTGTTCAGGAGGGGTGGGCGAATGTTCGTCTTCGGCAGAGTCGTCTGATTCATTTCTTTCCTCCTCACCCGATGAGTCAGACTCTCTGACATTCTTCTCTTTAGTTTCTTTAGTGACCTGAGAGTTGGCGTCCTCTTTGTGTCCAAAAGTACTGTCCTCAGGTGGCTGAGCGGGAGAACAATTCTCAGCGCTGGCAGGAGCAGACTGCATTTCCTCAGCCTCATCGTCTTTCTTCTCTGGCTCTAAAAAACAACACACAGTAAAAGAAAAGAGCATAATGAGTGCACCTGACCTCAGCATTCCACAAGAATTCAATCAGTCTTACTTCATGGTGATTTAATAACAAAATAGCAATAAAGTCAATCCAATATAATTCCTCCAGCTTTTAACTTGTTCTATAGTATAAATGTCCAAATGATGAGCTTTGGACTTTTTAAAACGCCATCATTGGTCAACGTCCATCTTTCTTCTATGAACTAGAACATCAACAAATGTTTATCTGCCAAGTAGTATGGAAACATGAATCATCTTTCATTTGAATAATTGCTTAAAAAGTCATCTTCAATGTTTGAACGTTTCTTTTTTACTTTGGGTTTTTAAGAACATTTCACTTTTTTTTGTTGATATATTATAAGTAATATGATTGATTGATTGATTAAACACAAAATGTATAAGCTACAAATGAACATAAGCAATAGTTACCGCTGTCAGCTAACAATAAGGTCAACTTGTGTACCCCTCTGTGATCCGTAGATCTGTCCAGAATCGCTTGTTTCAAATGTTTTTCTGTGCTCTTGGACTATCACTGTAAACAGCGAACAGCACACACATCAACATATAGTATTCTTTATACTATGTTTAAGATATCATTCATAAATTAGTGTTACAGGAACCCTTTGTTGGATCATCTTCTTGATTATCGATAATATGATCCGTGAACAAAAAAAGAAAATAATAATATAAAGACTGCAATCTTATATTTGCTTTTCACTCTTTAGTTTTGTGTCCTTATTCTTCATCTCAGTGTTTGTTTCCTCTGTGATTATCTGAATCAAGCTTAAATGTTGTAGTTTCCAAACCTGTGTTTTCAGTAACGGAGGATTCCATGTCAGACTGGCTCTCCTCACTCGGGACGTCCGACACATCAGCTGACTCTGGATCTGCCTTCTCGGAGTCTGAGGGGTCACACTGTGGGATTTTATCATCGGCAGGCTCTCTGTGCTGGTCTGCATCTTCATCTTCAACATTACTCTGATCCAGAGAAGAAGCTGACCCACTATGTGTAGGGGAAGGAGGAGACGCAGTTTTCTCATGCTCTTCAGTGTTCTTTTCTAAAACAGAATAACAGAAAAAGGGAATTAAAGCAAAAGAAGGCTTTGATAAATTAACCAGACAGAGCAATCTTGGGAATTGGAAGTCCAACAAAAGCAATGTGTTAGTAAGAGTAGTACGGAAACTATACATTGATCAATTCATTAATTAACAGAAAAGGAATCATGTTTGGTCTGATGAATCATTTATAAAGCAAAACAAAGTTCACCTGATGTGAACCTGACTGCTAGGAATTGTTACAATCATTGAGTCAGTCTTACTCCATGGAGGTTTATGTTTGCAAAGAATAATCAATCATTTATGAAAACCTGCTGCACCCTCTGTTTGTGTGTAAGATATTACAAAAGATATCTAATCAAACATAACTGGGTGTTTCCTCTAGTGCTGATGTACACCTTCACAGAATCTACTCACACTATAGTAATGTAGAAAAATGAGAGGTGTAACTAAGTAGATTTCAAGTACTGTACTTAAGAACAATCTTGAGATAATTGTACTTTACATTACATTGCATTTAGCTGACGCTTTTATCCAAAGCGAGTTACAATAATGTATTCGACCAACAAGATACAAACTTGAAGAAAACAGAATCATATAAGTACATCAGGTTTCATAGAGCTAATAGTTTCAAGTACTACTCAGCTGGCTTTAGATAAGCCAGTCCTTTATTAGTATATAAGTGCTTTGTTAATAATTCTATCGCTCAAAGTGGAGTCGAAAGAGATGAGTTTTCAGTCTGCGCCGGAAGATGTGAAGGCTTTCTGCTGTCCTGATTTCAATGGGGAGCTCATTCCACCATTTTGGAGCCAGGATAGCAAACCCACGTGTTTTTGCTTTCTGGGTCAGCTGGGGACGTATCCTCCTGATGTTGTAAAGCGTGTATCTGCAGCAGCGGGTTGTAGCAGCATTGTTTGCAGTGAAGGACAGTTTGTTATCTAGGGTCACACCCAGACTCGTTGCAGTCTGACTACTTTACTTGAGTATTTCCATTGTATGCTACTTTGTACCTCTACTCCACTACAATTAAGAGGTAAATCATTTACTTGTACTCCACTTCATTTATATAATACCTTTAGTTACTTTACAGATTTGGATTAATGAAACAATCAACACTTAAATCAGACTTTAGTTCCACCTGGAGTAAATCCACAAGCTACCCTGCAGTATACAGAGTCATTAAGCTAGCTGCACCTTTACCAGCTTTGATACCACTTTAATGATCAATCATTATAATCAAAACATATAATATATTATACTAACATGGGCCAATCTGCATAATGAGTGCTTTTACTTTTGGTAATATAAGTATATTTTGATGCCAATACTTTTGTACTTTTACTTGAGTAACCTTTTTAAGGCAGGACTTTTTTCTTGTAACAGAGTATTCCTACACTCGGGTACTTCTACTTTTACTCAAGTACAAGATGTGAGTACTCCTCCCACCTCTGAGAAAAGTTTAGTTGTACCTGTCCATTAGTTGTTCCTAATTATGTATTTTATAAATGCTTTTCACTGTGCTGAAATGTATCTTGTTTCTGTTATTCCTCATCCTAGTGTTGTTTTTCACTCTGACAATCTGATTCAAGCTCCAACTTTCTTTTATAGTTCCTAAACCTGTCTGTTCAGGAATGGAGGATTCCTCACTCAGGCCTTCCGACAGATCAGCTGGGTCTGGTCCTGCCTTCTCAGAGTCTGTGAGTTTACCCTGTGGGATTTCTCTCTCTAGATCCTCTCTGTTCTGGTCTGCATCTTCATCTCCTCGATTATTCAGATCCAGAGAAGAAGCTGTCTCATTATGCCGAGGGGAAGGAGGAGACACAATGTTCTTTTCTAAACCAAAAACACAGAACAAAATAAATTCAAGGAAAAGAAGACTTTGAGAAATTAAAACACACAGAGCAGTCTTTGAAAGTGGGAGTCAAACAACAGTAGCATGAAAACAATACATTGATCAATGAATTGATGAACAGAAGATAAATCATCTTTCATTTAAATGATCCTTTATAATGCACACAATGTACAACAAATTGTCGGGACGTCCGACACACCAGCGGGGTTTGGTTCTGCCTCCTCAGAGTCTGTGAGCTTACCCTGCGGGATTTTTTTTCCTAAACAAACAAAAGCCAAAGTTAGAAAAATAAATTGAAACAATATATTAATCAATTAATTGATCAACATACAATTAACTCATACAAAAAACGTCTGGCTTTTTTCTTTTTTAGGAAAGAAATCCCTTCATCTAATCTTCAAAATGTCAACTATTTAAAAAAAAAGTGTGATATATGATAAATAAATTATTGATTGATTATAAAAATTGATTAGGTACAACTGAACACAACAAGTAGTTGCAGCTGTCAGCTAACAATAAGGTAAACTTAATACCCATCTGTGGTCCGTCGTTATATCCAGAATCGCTTGTTTCAAATCTTTTTCTGCGCTCTTTGACCATCCCTGTAAACAGCGAACAGCACACACATCAACATATAGTATTCTTTATACTATGTTTAAGATATAGTTAATAAAATATTGTTACTGGAACCTTTTCGTGGCGTATCATCTTCTTGATCGATATTATGATCTGTGAACAAAAAAAGAAAGGAATCAAATAAAGACTGCAATCCTGGTTTAGTCCTTAATTGCTTCAATTGATAAAAACGTGAAATTAATTCAGAATCTGTGTCCTTTCTGTGATTTCTAGCAGGTAGCTTCATGTTTCTATTACCTTGATTAAAATGGAGAGGCTGGTTAGAGGGTAGTGTGGATTGACTGGGATGAAGAAGAAGCTCTTTTTCAGAACTCTCTGCTTCGTTCTTCTCTTCACCTGAAATACAAAACATAATGTTACTCACTGGTATGAAATAATGATATTGAACATTAAAAAAAAGTTTGAAAACAATAATACCTTTAAGAAATGAACAATCAATGAAAGAGCAATATGTAATGTTAATAAAAGGCTGAGAAGCGTTTTCACATGAGAGCCATGGACTGCCTACAAAATGGACCCAAGTAGGAATGAATATATGCCTTCTTAAAAGCTCTGAGATTCAAAACGCCTGCTGTTTTAATTGAAAGGATTGTGCAGCTTTGGAGGTATGGCCTATCTCTGCTTTATAGCTCTTATCTGCAACACTCCCTGTGTACAATGCAGGCTTAACAACAGCTACATTAAACTACTACTCTCTTTAAGTAATCTACAATGTTCTATACAATTACAACAAAGAAAAGAGAAAAAAAATTAAGACCAGAATGGGGCAGGTTCCTATTATGTTTATTAAAATTACCTTTGTTGTCTTTGCTTTCCCTTGAGCTTTCTTTATTGAAAAACCGCAACTATTTGAGCACCTAAACTTTTTATTCTTTGATAATTTGTTGTCTTTACTGCTTGTTCTCCCATCTCAGTTGTGCAGACATTAGTATTCAATTAAAATGATTATTCTATTCAAGGACAATTCAGAAGAAAACAATTTTAATTATCAATAAATCCTCTTAGTTATTTATAAACGCCACAGCATTTGTTTGGTTTGAATAGACAATATCATACCTTTTTTTGGTGACTGTTTTTCAGGATCATCTTTTGCAAAACATGCTGGACCATGAGTGAGAGGACACAAAAGAACAAAGACAAATTGTGTTTAGTTTCATATGTTTGAAAGTTAGACTGCTTGTGTACAATTATACTGCAATTAAATAGCTTGTTATGCATAATGTTCTCTTCTGGAAGGACTTAATATCTCCAAATGACAGAGAGCCTTGCTCCATATAGAACTAAAATGACATTAGGTCAACTGTTACACATAGCTCTGAATATGTGAGCATTAGTGTTCACATGTTTGTTTGCTAATATTACTGTTGAAGCAAATAATTTCTTGAAAGAATTCCGTTTAAGGTGTAATACTATTACTGTACCTTTATGGCGTAGTTTGCAGTACAAAACTATGCCCAGAAGAACCCCAAGGAGGAGAATACAAAATAAGCTGACAAGGCCGGCAGTCACTCCTACAGATGAGCTTTTTACTGCACAGAAACACAAGAGTAAATGTTACAACGACATCTTATGACATTACATTCATTACTGAAACAACAATTATACAACATAAACATTTTAGTTTACATTTTGGACATGAACCCTGTCATCCCTCTTGATATTAAAACTAAAAGATAAAGAAGCTCATTTGAAATACCTTTGTTTACCCATTATTACTATCAGTAATATTAATGTATTCATTCTGTGAAACACACAGAGCAGATACATGCAGGTGTTACCTAATAGCTTACAGCGGGTCAATAATAATAATAATAATGTTCATGTTAACATAGTGACCTACCTGGGTAGCAATCCTTTGCAGTGAATGTAGCTGTTTCACTACTCAGAGGGTTGCTGACTGTACAACTGTACTCTTCCTCATTATGTTCACCCCCCAGAGGAATGTTAAACTCTGGGCCAGGCTGCACGCTTCCTTGAGATCTCCACTCCAACTTCTTTACGGATTGAAGTCTTCCGGGCTTTGCAGAGCACAGCAGCTTTCCAGAGATGTTACCGATGCTGTCATCGTTTATCTCACAGGATATGGTGGGCTTGGCAATCTTGTCTTAATGAATGCATTAAGGACAAAATCAATTAATCACACCTAAATGAATGATTCCATCATGTTACCTTATCTCTATCTAATAACAACATATTACACATGGTAAAGGATATAAAGGACATAAATTGCTGAAAAAATATATTGTATTTCATTTCAATTATAACTAATCTTCACTGTCACATAAGGGAATTTGCTGTTCTGTTTAAAAATAATTAGTGAGTTAAGGTTATTATAACTAATTAGTTTGAAGTTAGGGAAAGAGTGTTCTCACAGTTAAATATGGCAAAATCTGAATACTGGTATACATCCTGACATTAAGGCCAACACCCTGACGTTATACTGCAATACAACAAATCCCAGTAATTCCTACTTTGACACTGAATGAAACTGTGTACTACCTGTAGTTGATTTGAGTCATTACAGTATCTTAACTGATACCAAGGCCATCATAACAATCAAATCAAATGTACAAAGTATTAAATCCTTTTTTATAGGTGACCTATTAATAACATAACTAACAGACACTGTTGGGTGTGGGAGAGAAGTCCTGTCTCAGTGACTCGATGAGTCCTCTGTGGGGCTTTAACGCTCTCAAGAAAGCAACCACATGTCTTTGATACTGCTACTCTGTTTTTTTTTTAAAACTGTAAATACTAACAATGCTTATTTCATTTATTGTTTTATACTAGTGACTCACAAGCTCGATCATCAGCTACAAGTTGTCAATTACAAGGTGTTCTAAGTTGTATTGATAATAAACATGTATTCACTACTAACTTCACTCGTAATTGAACATTTAAGAATGTTATGTTGATCATTGTCACATTTACATTTAAATATCCATTGTAATGCAAAACTATTTGCTAAAAAATAGAAACTTTGGCAGTGGCATCTTCCTTATTGCATTCCATCAATTTATTTGTGCATTGGGTTTTATTTTAAGGTCATTTAAAGGCATTGGGGTTGCTATAGGATTAACTACCTGCTATAAAATCATGGTAACATATTCATGTGATAAACGGCATACAACCAAAGTAAAGTAAAAAAAAACGTACCAATGACGTCCAATTGATACAAAAAACGCTGCAACTTTTTGTTAAGTTCTAGTTCCAACTCATACTCTCCACTGTCTTCAAACCTGAGGTCAGTAATTTGGATATCTGCAGAGACCCAGTCAACAGTGATCCTGTTTTCAAATGGTTTGTAGACATGTTGCTCTTTGCCATTAAACTCTACCACTTTGTTGCCGTTATGTTTCCACAGAATTCCATCAGGGTTTCCAGTGACGCCTGGCTTTAAGGACACCTCCCCCCCCTGCAGTGCATATTCTGGAGACTGTCCGGCAACTAGACACAGAGAAAATACATGAATGTGTAGATATAGGCAGTATAATGTGGAAACGTTTCGTTGTAACATTGAAAGATATGATAACAATAACTAATATCTGTGCAAAACTGTAATAACTTGACAGGTGTATGATCATTCTCAATGTTGTATGCTGTATTCCTATAATAACTTTCGGTATAAATTCAACATTAATTTGAGTTTTTAACCAAAAGAGTTAAAGGTCAGTAGCCTACTTGTGTGTATCACAGACACTTTATTACTAACTGAGATATTATGAACTATTGTACTCAACTTTAGATAAATCATTAACCTGTCCATGCATGGCCTGTGAGTGAAATAGTAGGAGTGCACTCGAGTTTTTAAGACGAAACAAACATTTAAAAACCGGATAAAAATGACAAAAGCATTTAAGAGACAAACTCACCTAGGAATGATGTGAGGGTGAAATAAGTCAGGAAATACCGACGAGCCATTTCAGAAGAGCAGAAAAATCTCCGTTTGAAGCATTTACTTTCACTTGTTCGCATTTACTTTCACTTGTTGCAGATATTCTTTTTCTCAACAGAGTTAGTCCAAAGGTTCCCGGATTGTTATTTTTACTCCAACAAGTTTGGACAGGCTTTAAAATAAACTAGTTAATACCTGCGCAGGTGATCCTACGGGTGTGTTTTTAGGATCCAGGCAGAATAGCAGCAGGAATAATGGGACAGGTTTAGCAGCAGGAATAATGGGAGAGGTTTAACACCTATTTCCGGTCTCGCGATTTCCCCTCACCTTCACAATAAATTGGAAATCTGACCATCTAAATCTAAACACATTAACATAACGTAAGTGATCAACCCAGAGTTACAAACTTGTAAATGAACGAATCAAATATCTCTATAACCATTCAAATTTGTTAAACATTAATTTATACTATATCTACATAGGGGAGAAGGGGGTAAATTGAGGCAGTGGGTAAATTGAACCACCTCCTGTAACCAGGCAACGCTTTATAGTTGTAATCAGGTGACCAGAAATTATGCAAGCTCCTCCCATTTATCTTTACTTTTGCAGACACCAAAATACATGACGTTGACCTAATACTCACTCACTTCATTATATATGTTGAATAAATAGAGATTGTCTTTGCAATGGTACTAAATAAAAAAACGAAAAAAAATTGTTTTATATATAAATTGCAATTTATTTAAAATGCCAAGTTCAAGGAACTGCCTTGTCACTTTGGTCATACATGGAAGAGGAGCCTATAGTTTTCTTTCAATAAATAAATCTAATTTATATTTACATAATATTACAAGCATTACATATAACACTGAAATGGTAAAAAAAAAATACAAATTATTATTAATAATATCAAATAAATGCCAGTCACCCAAAATTAAGTCATTGGTGTTACTGCTACACAAAACGCTTTTATTTTGAAATAATGTATTGTCTCTAAAGTGCCTCCTGTAACAAGAGATCATTTGAGGCAGTGCAGTGGACAAAGACATAAGGAAAGTAAGATACTTCTTACTTTGTTTGTTAAAGGTGTCATTTTATCTTCAAATTTTACGTGCGTCTTTCAAGTCTGTCATTAGTGTTACTCATTTTATAGCCCTATGGTGAACATTTGAATGGGAAAATGTATTGTATTGAAGAGTTAAACTATTTTGATTTTGACTGAAGCCATATTTGTTCTGACAAATTGCAGCCATTTTGTTAAAATAGTAGTGTTTTCTCCAAATTGTCACTGGTGTTACTCTTCTTCCTGGTAACACGTAACACCAGTGACATCCCTATGTAAATAAGCTTTGTATAATATAAAAATAGTAAAAATACTTTAAGCTCTACTTGTTGTGGATTCATCAAGTTAAGAGTTAGTTATTGCTATTTAACAGGTTTTAGATGTTTAGAAGGAATATATTTCAGCAGATTTGTATCACCCAGATTCCACCTTTTCTGTAGAATGACTCAGATGCCCATTGTGGTCTGGTAAGTAAACATTTTTACAAAAAAACGTTTTTTGCTTGTCAAAGTATATTTTCTAGATGTCAGCTATATCGGCTGTCATGTCAAGCAAAAT